ATGATTCAGAACCAATCCCAGTACCTCTCTGTGAAATTACTAATGTAGAATTCAGTGAACAAAATATCTCCAGGGCAACTAGAACATCGAAACACTCCTACACTGATGGACCAGATGGTATTCCATCTAGCATGCTAAAACATTGAGGTGATGATATGTGTGTTTTGCTTCTCAAACTATTCGCGATATCACTCTCTTCAGCGTGTTCCCCTACTGGCTGGAAAACTACACATATCATTCCCAAAATTAAAACAGGTCCTGAAGCAAACGTTAAAAATTACTGGCCTATAAACATAACTTCAGTGGTATCCAGAGTGATGGAAAAAGTAGTTAAGGCGGCTGTAGTCCAACATCTACTAACTAATAATCTCATCTCGACCTCCCAGCATGGATTTCTTAGGTCCAGATCATGCGATACATGCCTAGTAGACTACCTGAATGATATAACTCTGAAACGAGACAGCGGACTCATTGTATCAGTACTATTTCTAGACATTAAGAAAGCCTTTGATAAGGTCCCACACAAAAGGCTACTCGTCAAACTAAAGTCCTTCGGAATACACAATCCACTGTACTCATGGTTTGCTTCGTTCTTAACAGAACGTAAACAGATGGTAAAGTACAATGACTGTCTCTCGTCCCCTAGACCAATCACCAGTGGAGTCATCCAGGGAAGCGTATTAGGTCTACTTTTCTTTCTTATGTATATAAACGATGTATGTAACACCATAGAATTTGGGAAACCATACTTATATGCTGATGATCTCAAAATAGTATACAGCTATATGCCTGAGACACTAAGCGAAAGTGTATCCCAGATCCTAAAGGACCTCAATAACCTAACTATATGAAGTGAAAAATAGCAATTACCATTTAACCTCAACAAGTGCAGTATCATGCACTTTGGAAAGCATCCCTATAAACCGCAACTTCACTTAAATAAAAGTAGAGCCCAAACACTCGAATCAGTACACGATTTAGAAATTATTTACACAGGAAGCTTGAACTTTGAAGAACATGTCCCCTCTATTATGTCTAAATCTAGACGGCTAATTGGTTTCATAATGAGAAGTTTTTTCACAACAGAGGCTTACCTTACTCTCTACAAAATATGTGTACGACCCTCACTTGAATACTGCTCTTTTGTCTCCTCTAATATGAATATCGCAGACAAGATAAGAGTAGATGTTCAAAGACGTTTCACACGCCAACTGCTAGGATGTAACTCAAATCTCGATTACACAGATAGATGTAAGCATCTATCTTCAGAACCTTTATGGCACCGTAGGCTAAAAAACAATTTAATATTTCTCTACAAAGCGATATTTGAGCTCTCCTTTCTAACCTCCTGCCTGACTATCACCCACGACCCAGCCTATAGACTTAGAAACAACGCATATACATTACTTACCTTAAAACACCAAAAACAAATGCTTTGTAAGTTTTTTACAGTACGGTATAGTTTATTGTAGAACAGGCTGCCAATGCCTATCCGTAACTGTGATATGCTTATCAGATTCAAAAAGCTAAAAACCCTATTTCTAGACTCTAAAGAACTTCGACATTTCCTTGAACTCCAGCCCACCAATGAGGCACTTTATTACGGACCGCCTAGTATCTAGAAAGAACAAGATTATAACAAGTTCGACTGTTACTAATACGAATATAACCAAATCACAGAATATATGGCTTATCCTTTCCTATTATTCATTCTTTATTAATCATGGCCTTATGATCCTAACCCTCACTTTCAGTTCCCAAATCTCTCTACAGGTTAAATGTACATTATTCTTCTTAAAAGTCATGCCTTATTTTCTATTGCAAGTAGACAGATAACTCACTTATCTTATGGATGCTGACCTACTAAGGCCGATCATACAAAGCTCAAAATTTGGCCACAAAGTCTTGTGACTTTTTGAATGTTTTATTTTTCTTACCCTAAAATCTTTTTCTTTTTTTCCTACAATTTTATACCCTCTCATGTCCTTTGATTTGCTATTAGTCCTTACTTCTTTAAACCATTAGTCATCTTCATAGAAGTGTGATATACTATGTGGACATCTAACCCATAAAACAAACTTTTTAACTATCTGATTTGCTTGTAACATGGACCTAGTAGAGACAGTGTATTCCAAATATGGGCTTTGATTAAAGCAGTATTCATACTTACCACAAACGTGAGAGAGCCTAACATCACAAACGGAGGGAGAGTGGCGTTACTGACCAGCAAACATGATGGTGGGGAGATAACTTCAATCCACCCATGTCTGTGGGGCAGAACATCTTGTTAAATCACGGCTCCTTATGGTTTAGTGGGATGTCACGAACTTAAGATATTAATGCTGAATAATCATGCAAAATACCTCTTTCAATCGTGTTACGAACGTTGAATTGGTTTCACTTCCTACCCAGTAATCCTATTACAAGCAAACTAGACAATTCGCTAATAGACGAAGCTTACTCAAGACCCTATGTTATATTTTAAAAAAACAATAATAAAAATGCCGAGAAATGAATAGGGCTCCAACAGCTTTGATAAAAAAGGAAGATAGTCAGTTGTATAATAAAATACTGTTTTCAGCACTATATTTTATGACCACCCATAATCTCATACTTTCAGCTGCTTTCTGAATCGTCTCAATTTGTCAGTTGTATATCCACTCATACCATATTTACACTTATTTTCTTTAGCCTATTAAAATGCTCTTGCTTAACAAATAACTTAATAAAAGAAAATTAAACTTAGTAGTCATACCTTAGACATTCCTTCATGAATATTGGCTAGCCAATATTTACTACAGTGGATATCGTATCAGTTGTAACAATCTGATCTTGCCTGTAAACTGGCATGCCTCATGTAACAAACTGTTACTAGAAAATAAATAATTATCATTATATCTATGCAAGAACAATTATGAGGTCATTTGAAGATAGAATTAAAAACAGGCAGGTGGGTAAGGCAGTAAATGAGCGATGTTTGGAAATATATATGATAAGTCGTGTGGTAATTAGAGAAATAGTAAAGAGTTCACGTAAGATTCAAACCATCCGACGAGATAGTTATGAGTTGATAATTGTTTAGGATTAGAATTTATTCAGATGGGTTACGTAATAACTAGACAAGATTTTGAGGGTTTACTTAAGCTTTGAGAATTGTGTGACAGGAAAAGATCGGTGATGAAGAGACTGTTCTGAAGTACATAAAGTAAGAATTGGTTTGAATAAGACCTCATAACAAGACACACTGACAGAATAATAATAACAATATAGAAACCTAACATTCTGGTCGAGTCATTATTATCTATGATTTGATCACTTTTTCAAAAAGTTATCTGCTGGTTCACATGGTGTTTAGGACCAGTCTGCAAGAAGTTAGCTACCTACAGTCTGAAGGCTAGTTTTGAGTTTTCACAAAGGCTTGAAAGTTTAAATTTTCCTGATATACTCATGGTATCTTTCGACGTCACTACTCTCTTTATAATGATCATTATGGAATAAACAACCGGAATCGTATGTCAATATTCTGTACTCTTCATTTCCCAATTAATAATTCTGAGCAGCTGCCGTTCTTGGGTACCAAAAGTAAACACTCGGTTCAACAATGTACTATACGGTCAAGTTGATAGAGTCTCCATGGGTAGGGCCGTGGGCCTGATTCCGACTGATATATTTATGAAGAACCTGAGTTAGATAAAGCTTAAGCATGTAACTGATGGAACTACACATTATTATAGAATAATGGATGACATGTTTCTTATGTGAAAAAAGCAGTTGAATGCTGTGTGTCTACTCAATCTGTCTAACTTAGCAGACAATCAATAAATCTCGGTAGCTCCCATTCTTAGGTACCAATCTAAAGTGAAATGTTAAGACGATGGAAGAAAATAGAATGATTGGTGGGAGACGAAGGAAGTTTGGGACGATTAGATCGACATTTTGCAAATGAACTATTTACTTCACGGTTCTCAGATTTTACTAAGTGGTGCTGTATTTTTGTATTCAATTAGATTTAGTTGTCCCCACTAATGTTATCGTTCAGTACAGTACCAAATTCCGACTGATGTATTTATGAGGAACCTGAGTTAGATAAAGCTTAAGCATGCAATTGATGGAACTACACATTACTATAGATTAATGGATGACATATTTCTTATCTGCAAAAAGCAGTTGCATGCTGTGTCTCTTCTCAATCTGTTTAACATAGCAGACAATAAATCTTGGCAGCTCTCATTGTTAGGTACCAATCTAAAGCGAGGTGTTAAGAAGATGGAAGAAAAGAGAACGAGATTAGAGAATGATTGGTGGGAATCGAAGGAACAATGAAGTTTGAGACAATTGGATTGACATTTTGCAAATGAACTATTTACTGTATGGTTCTCAGATTTTACTATGTGATTCTGTGATTTTGTATTCAATTACATTCAGTTGTCCCCATTAATGTTATCGTTCAGTACAGTTGTACTTCTATTTACACAATTTCTCAATATTTCATCATTACTAATCTTATGCTACTTACAAGTCTAAATTAATGTATGGGGAATTTTCGTAGATGGAAATGATTAATTTCCATTTAAACTAGTGAGAACACGTACCACTTTACAGGTTGAAAATAGATTCGATACCTGAAGTTGGTGTTTTCTAAATTTGATGAAAACTTGTGACATTAAATGTATGAGTTGAATTCAATAAACATGTAAGTGGAATGAACAAGGACTCGTTCAATGAATGCACATAGACAACGGTTTAGTAGTTCGTCTAAAATAATTCAGCTTTTAGTCGCTTTGCTAATCTGGATAAAAGTCTTGTAACGAGAATCCGCCTAGCGAAGACATTTATTTAGTGAAGAGTTTAGTGAGAGTTCGCAACCGTTTATTTATAATATAAAATGAATGAAAAGATAATATGAATGTGGAACGTTTCTCAGAGGCATTCAGTATGCATTTGTGATGACTTAATCAACTCTAAGTAACATATTATGATAATGTTTAAAGATTGTGTTACTAGTTAATCCGACCAGCTGTTACCTCGGATTCGATGCCACATTCATCATGACCACGTAGTATTCTGAAATATCCATTTTCATCCCAATCTTCATTCCACGAATTCGCTATCAACCAATAAGGAGTGTTTTTTTCCACACCCCATCCAATTATACGTATGGCATGTCCACCAACTGGTTCCCCAGTAATATGTTCATAGATCCCAGATTTGTAATTTAGAAAATCTTCGTAAACTGTGAAGGCTGCTTCTACTGGTCCATACTTCATGATTTCCTTTTGAATAGACAATTCATTATCAGCAACATTATAGGATAATTTACCTAAGAGATGAATAAATTGATAATGAAAATGAAGCTGTTATCACTCAATAGAGAGCTTCCAAAAGTAATCTCAAAAATGATTATTAGACATGTTGAAGCATCACTTGTAAGCAACTCTTTGATAATATATTGAAATCGATCTTCATGAGTGACAAGTCAACGTCTTCACATTACTTAGCTCGATGCTTGTCTTGGATGTATGGGATCTTGTCACTTTTCTGACAAGTCTTTTCACATCGAGTCTTGTAGAGTTTTTTGCCTTATGCAGGATACTTTCCTTTAGCATGATGCTCACATTTCGGGAATGGATATGGTTGACAACCTGTGTGATTCTCTTTCGAACTTCCAGTAACAATACCTTCCTTCACCCAATAATCCCAAGCATGACCAAGGAATCCACCATCACACCCAAATCCGCAATCGCTACAACAGCTCATTAGATCCACAGCACTTAGTTCCACAGATTGTCTGCCACGTGACTGTATGCAGGTTCGATCACTCATGGCTTCGACAGCAGCGAAAGCCTGGAAAAAAGCAATGGCAACATCAAGACGTTTTAATTTTTGTAATGAATTTACGTGGAATAAGTGGTCAACATTTACTAGTTATCTGAGTTCAACATGACCTGTTTCGTCAATTATTTCAGTCACCTGACGTATGTGCTGTCATACAGCTTTCAAAGAAACAATTTCTCTAGATAATATGACTCTGATACTGTCTGACGTTCGGTGAGATCTCCTACAAAATCACTGATTTGTAGAAATATTCATAGTCATGCCAACATTGTATACATTTTTCAAATAGTGCGATCATTAAAACTCACCCAAGATGATCCACATCGTGATTGATCACGAATGGTCGCTATACTTTTACAACGAGGCCATTTCATCCTTGAATCAAAACTTGATGGAATTTCTACATTCAAATCATTATGGTCAACTGTGGGACGTCTCTTCTTTCTTAATTCTGATTCCTCTCTTCTTGCACCCATCAGAATACGTGCGTCATCCAGTGAGTGGAAACGATTGCTTTTCTCAGCTTTCCATTCAGCATTTGGCTGAAGGATGAAAAAGTTGAAATCATAATTGAATGAGAAACAATTCTGACAATGTTGAACTAAAAATGGAATTCAAATATGAAGATTTAGATTTGTTCCTTTTTCAACTGTCAGTTGTTGTATTGAACTTAGATATATGAAATGAAATCAGTTTTAGGCCGATGGCGTACGAAACAATGTAACCTGTCATTTTAAATAACTTATAGATGAATTCTAGTTGTAAAGAGGAGGAATCATCTGATTGATTGCACATTCTCCTCAATCAAACCTCGTTTCGTACACAAGCTACTTACAACATAAAGTAGTGGATCTATTCTAATCCAACCGATCATACACGGTTAGAACGTAAATCATTTTACAATGTTCGCGATTTACAACATTACTACAAAAAAGAACCTACATGTTGATTAATATACGAGATGATGTCATCTGACAATGGTTCAAATCTTTCTTTCTTTATTGAAATATGAGCATCGAGAAGGGTTATCAATGAAGCGATACACAACACAGACGTAAGCATAACTAAAGAACTCTTGTGAATGTATTTCTTCGAACACAGCAATCATCATATAATCATTGTTTTATATATACTAAACTGAAATAGTGGACTTTGGGTTACAATGGTATGATAATATCACATTTATTATTTCACCCACTTCAGTTTTTTCGTTTACAATCAAATGTAACACTTCAATAGAGTTATGATTCAACATACAAATCATCACAGATCACTTCAGAATGTTGATCAAATTTCTTATACACAATAAGATTTCAAATAAAATAGTAATGTCAAAGAAAATCTTGATTTCAAAGGTTAATTTGTTAAACACTGCCATTACAGGTACTTGAAAAATAAGATAATCACAAATGTGTTTACTTATAATTTGTGCTTAGTGGTAAGTTTTCTTTATGATAAAACCCTGATTCCAAGTCAATGGTACATATGGGATTCAGTATTAGTCAATCATTCGTGACTGACTACCATGGGACTGTATCTCCTGACGTTGCATCACTGTCTTGTAGATCGTTATGATGAATTCATGCACAATTCTGATCACAAATACCACATATTTCATTGAAATCAATCGAAGTTGAATTTTCCGAAAATGTAGATGGTTCCTTCTCGCTAGTGCTTAAATCTTATCTTTCACAAATGAACGAACAAACAGTGCAGATGTAATGTTATATCCATTCATTCAATCATAACTTTACACCAGAAGAAACAATTGAATGTAGAATGTAATGACTTCATAAACACTAAGTAATTGGGACTTAATCATTATTTGTAAGATTATTCGTATGAATAATGACGAACAATAAAATAGTATTCTCAACAATAAACCACAGCATACTGGTGATTAGCTGTACTTGAAACTGAACAACGGTTATACACATCACTTTGTACTCGTTTTGTAGATGTTCATCAACACACAAAACAACACAACTACAAGGAAATATTTACTTTCAGACTGAAATCAAGTAAACCAGCTCACTAATTGATTAGTTATCACGTTTTTCTAACAGACAATTTAACTAAGAGGCAACAGGTTTCGACACCATTTTCCGACGTCTTTATTTATATATGCTGATTGAATGTTTCTCGATTATTTTGGTTTGATGGTTTTCGTGCAATAAGTGTATCCACTTTATTTCTTTGGTTTTATATATATTTTTACTCCATGCTGACTGTTTGTTGATTAGATAATATTTCTGAAGGTCACTTAATAATCGTTTGAAGTTCGTCCGTAAATTAGAGTCTCGCCACTTAATTTTCTATCAATAGAAGGAACTAAGTCACTGATCTGTTTTTGAATTTTAGTAGAGCTGTGTTCTCTGAGATTGATGTTTGGTTGTGATTATTCTCGTTCATATATCATGAGTACTGGGTCTCTAAATACTATTTTGAAACAGACATTCTTACTCTTAACCACATTGTCCTATTCGCTTTGAACAATGAGTTATGCAGACAAACTGAGGGGATTAGAATGCGATCTCTGTTTCAGCGTGTTCCAACACTTTGTTTTATAACCAAACGTGAAAACGTTTGAACTATTTGACTCATCAGATTTTGTATTTTCGACTAATATTGTTGGGGTATCACATTTATAATTTGTGACGTGAAGTTCGACCTGATTGATATTATTTATCTAGTCAGTGCATACCATCCAGCCTGAGACTTCATGAGACAAGCGTAAGTAGATCATCCATATCCTCCCTCACTGACTTTCTGGACAAGGAATAATATTGATCATGCAAGGTAGTTTATGTATAGACGACAAAGATGGGACGGTCAACTGAGCGAAGTCGTCGAACCATTTAATACAAGGAAACATTTCGTTCACTTCTATATTATTAAACAGATGACAACAATGGTAATTACAGTAATAATATATGTAGTGATGAAAGCATAAATGAAACATTAAATTCGCCTTGGAAACCATTCATAGTATAGCAACTATCCCACAACCAATTTCTATTATGGTTAATTTTGATTAAGTCCTTTTATTAACCTACTTAACAGACAATGTTATTTGAATAGTATCAATTCACATATTTCTTTATACTGTTATGACCACTTGATCACATGACAGGTCGTTAGCACCGTCAACTTCAACGAAAAGTAGACACCTTAATACACATTTGCTTTTACATGAAGTGGGAAAATAACTATGCATTATTCACATGAATGTTTAATTTCATTTGATCACTGGAATAAGCCACATGTTTATTTCAGAGACGTCTATAGAATCCTCATCTCAAACTCTTAGAAATATCAGCACATGTAGACATTCAGGCTATGAATGATGAATGGTAAGTGTAGAGAAATAAGTCTTTTCTTTGCGTTCAGCATTGAGTTAGCTTGTAGTGAATAAGTCCGAACTAATTCATTTCGGAAATTCGGTGTTTAACAAGGATCACTAATCGAAATTGATTCTCATATTATCTTGACCACGATAATATAATTAACTTGAACTATTAATTCTCTGCCTTGTTCAGAAAATTATAGAGGGGAGATACAGGTTACCAACCTGTGCTTGTCTCATAAAGTCTTAGGCTGGATGGTGTGTGCTGAATAGACAAAGAATGTCAATTACGTTCAAATTCACATCATAGATTATATGTGTCACCCAAAAACGTTTAGTTGAAATTACAGAATCTGGTTGATGCGTTAGTTCGAGCAAACCGGTAGGACACGGTTAGCGGAGATCATATTCTAATGTGTTCACCTGTTCTACATAACTCACCGTTGTTAGCCAGTAGGACACTGAGGTTGAAAGTAAGAATTTATATTCGCAACGAGTATTTGGATGGCCAGTATTCATGCTGTATGAATCAAAACAGCACAAAAAATAAAAAAAGAGTGTGATAGTGATCTTTGAAAAGAACGGTCACACATGAACTTCGTTCAAAATGTCAACACAACTGACCAGCATAAGCAAAGTCAACTAGAGAAACCAGTGAACTGATCAACTTAACATATGTAGAAGATATACCATAGATTATAATAAGAATACTGAAGCAACTTGATACAGATAAAACACATAAAGAATAGTGTCTGGTTTCAATAAGTCAACGCAGTCAAGAGAACACACGCGCAATGTTCTGACATGCAAAATAATTATCATGTCAGCCATAAAACGTCATCTCCATGTTCGTTGTGTGGCGGTTGACGGTTTATTAGGTTCCGTCTGTTTAAAGGTCATCCCTGCACTACATGTTATAAAACATTCAAGTTTCGAAAAGCCAAAGACAATATAGAACAAAACAGAACTGGCATGCTTCAATCTAATAATCATGTGTTGGCGAATGACGAATCTGATTTTCCAGACAAACACTGAGTCTATGTGATTAGGTGGGATACAGTGTTTTATGTTTGCATGCGAGAAAATACACTCCATTTGCGGTCACATGGTAGATGTTGATCAGTTGGAATGTATTAGTGAGTCTTTAAATAGTGAAGAATATTGCCATTTCTAAATCGTTGTTTGAATCATCCTACTGGTGTTTCGGACTGCGCTTGATCAGTCTCTTATGAATGTGTATGCATTGTGTAGAATAGACTAAAAGTGGCATATTAGTGGGTCATGAAGCCATCAGGGGTATGTTAAACAATATTTTATCAGCGTCGACTATCTTCACACGTGAAAACAACACTTTTGTTTTATCGAATTGAAAAGTTCATGTGTAACTGTGGTCAGTTATTAAATTATATTAAAGCATTCGTCACGAGTGATATTTCACCGACCATTAATAATTACGCATCGGTTCATTGTTGAATGATAGAATAGATTGAGGGCCCATTTTTGGAACTAATATTGAAGTCTTCTCATTGATGGAATCTACCTGAGCACATAGATACAAAAAGACTGATGAGATGATGTTAGTCTCGAAAAATACTGTATGTCAGTTAGTCGACCGTGCATTGACTAGTAAACGTCCGCTTTTTCTTTTGATACATGAGGTTTCGAATTTTCCCGAAGCATTGAAATTGCGAGAACACTCCATGTAATTGCTATCACCTTGAAAATGATTGCCTTACTTCCGATAAATTGAGGTTATGGACAAGTGAAGTCTCCGAATTACAATTTATCATAGCGAGTTTTAGAATTGATCTTACATTGTACAGATGTGTTCAAGAAAATTGTCGTTGATGATTGGAGAAACAATGTCACACTTGTTTTGTTGTTCCACCGAATTAACATAGTTGAAATTTGATATTTATTCTGCGAACAACTGACATTCTTGCACTGATCTCAATCATAAAACTGACTTTATGAAAGGAAACTGTATAACTATTCGATGCAGTGCACTTTGCTTCACCCAGTGACAGCACCATTTGCACATGTCTGAATGCAAACACTTATTGAAATCCATCAATTTTTCTCGCCACACGTTATCGTCCATACTTGACATTCAAATCAATTTCATTCAATTCAAACGTGCTGTTTTGAAATATAAGTGAAATTGAAAATTAATTGATCCATGCATTATGCCTCAAGATGACAAATTTGCAGTGAATGAAATAGTCACTTAACTCCTTGATCACTATTATATCATTGAGCTATTGTTACATGTTTTGTAATTCACTTACCTTTTGTCTGATAACTTTCCGTTAAAACATTAATCAGTGGATCTAAACGCCGATTGTCTTCAATGACTAGAAACATAGTAACTCCCGATGTGTGGTTATTTTAGAAATCCAACGTGAAACCGTATTGTAAAATACAAATTAGGGTTTAGAATGAAGAATAACTGTCTACGTGTTTTAAAGAAGTGCTATTGCCCATGGTAGGTTGTTGCTGATAGTGTCTGGCCAGCAGATCCCAAGTATTTTGCATAGACAGCTGTTAGTAAGCGCTTGTATGTTCTGGATGATGGCTTTCGCAGTTCACCAGGTGTCTGCACCATAAAGTAGAACTGTTTTGACATTTGTATTGAAAGTTCTGACTTTGTTTTCGGTCGATGGACAGTTGTTTTGAGTAACAGATGTTCTTCAATTGTAGATATGCTGTTCTTGCT